GTCTTGTCAAGTTCCTTTCACAGCCTTCATTTTGATCCATTTTTTAAGAGCATCCTTGGCACTGACGTTCGTTTCCTTCAGGCCTGCAGTTTTAACTCAGATCGTTGTAAATTGAGTTATGCTTCAGTTTAGCTGCACACAATAGAGTATTTTAAGGTGAGGATGGACTGGAACAATGTTTTTTTTATTTTCACTGGGATAGCTAACTAAAGGAAGTATTCAACCTGCCTTTTAGCATAAGAGCGCTCCTCAAGTGCACCTCTCCGTGCACCCTCAGCAGTGTTAATTTAGTGTTGCACAAAGAGCCCTTGTCCAGCCCGCGCCTTTCCCATGCTGAAGAGGCAACACAGGCTGACATTTCTTTCTGAATATTTATTTACTTGTCCGGGCACAGGCGAGCTTTTATTGTGCCCCATCTCCAGGGTTTAACTTTGTGTGTATCAGTGTATACAACCCCCCCATTCTTTCCTCGGTTTTTACTTTATTTTCTCCTGTTTTCACTCGTGGTTTGTGAGTAATTTTAATTGGACACTGCACAGAATTACATTTACCTCACGCCGTTATGGAGGATATAAAAAAAAAAGAATACGTGCTTTTAAGAATTCGGGATTCATTATGAGCACAGTTCCAAGCAAACAGGGGACAGAAGACGATGTCAAGTGCATCACTGCCAGGAGCAGCAGTTCATTAAATGTGCATGCTGAAGGCTAGAATAGTGAAGGCTTTAGCTAAGATACACTGAGCTGCTCTCTTGGAATAAAAACCGATGTTGTGAAAGTAGGAAATTGTGCAATTGGTAGGAAGTTGCAGATCCAACCCATTTAAGCACAAAATCTGTATTGTTTTTCTTGTCATGTCTCTGCTGCTTTATGTCAGTGATTTAGTGTTGAATAATATGACGTGAATTTCACAACTCTGGGTCTAATAAAGGTCATCTTATCTTATCTTATCTTTAAAATGTGCCATCTTTCTCCTTTTTTTTTTAAATTTCTTTTTTTAGCCGCAAGTCTTGAGAGACTTACATGTTGAGCTTTGTAAGCTAAAGCCAGTAAAAATGTGGTGCAGTCTCAGTATGTGGAATAAGAGGGAAAAGGGATAAAATTCCATATAAAGTATATAAAGTAAAGTAATTAAGTACAACCATACATTCCCCTGATTACAGCCCTTTATTCACACTGCAGCTTAATTAAAATAACTCAAATCAGATTATGTACATTTCAAAAATTGTGTTTTGTGTTCTTGTTTCCTTAACTGTGGAACCTGCTAGAGTTTAAAACCATTTGTATGTATATGTGTATGTTTAAAAAGGTCACTGCTGGAGCGTAATGGTAGACCCAATGGTAGGTCGGTGATAACACTGTTGTACTAAAAAAGTATGTTTAGAGTTTGTTTTTCAAAGGTCTAACAATGCTCTATGAATAATAAATGAATAATAAAATGAAAGATGGCTGGATTGCAAGCGACTGACATGTTCATAGAACCGCTGTTAATAATTAATGGTTACATCTGCACTTTTTCTACTGTGACAAGTCAGAGCAGAGCTACAGTAAATTAGTATTTTCGATGAGAAATTCAGACTTTTAGTAAGTCAAAGAAAATACTTGTGGGTCCTGTGCATGCTTGTGACAACCCACTTGGTGTTGGATGTACCACACTATAACGACCACAGCATTTATTCCCCCACCTCGCAGTTTTGCTTGCGGCCACATGGGGGCGGTAGCTCCATGTTGAGAGTGCTGAATCTGTGAGGGCTCCTGCCATGTGCGCCGGTGGATCGCACGATACAAGGCTGGATTAATGGAGGCAGAGAGAGAATGGAGTCATTATGAGATAATGATTCAGCCTTTTATGGTAACATTAACAGCAAATAAGAAGTAAAATGAACAAAGACTAAAACATTCTAAGAAATGTGAACTGAACGTGTCACAAATTATTTATTTACTTTTATTTAAAATTTCCGTTTAGTAATGATCTGACGGAGGGCTTTTAAATCCAAAGGCTAATAGTCAGAGGGACTAAATCTATTCAACCTTCAAGGAGAAAATAGCACAATGCGAACTGACACACTAACATTATCAGACCTGATTTATCTTTCAAATGGTTATCGATCAGTCACTTTTACTACAGCTGAGTCCTCTTAGTCTTAACAACACAAACAGGCACTGGATACACGTGACTGCGGTGACATTTTTGGATGTTATAAGCAGTGTGTTAATGTCACCACAGCAGTGATGACAGAGGCACTAAAAATCTATTGTGAGACTTTCCATTCAATGCACGATCACATTTTCTGCTATTGTTGTGGATTGGATGCTCTGTGTACAGTAATGGGCATCCACTGAATGATTATTCACGAGTTTAGTTTTTCGATATAGGGAAGATGTACAGTCTTTTAAACACACCGAACAACATGTGCTGTTAGTGTTTCTCTGTGGGAACAATTGGATAATAATATTAATCATTAAAATGTGTTCATATATTTTCTTAATGAATATTAACTACATGTCTCATGAACACGATTTGATCTTGTAGGAAGAGCTTTATTTTCTAGAGGTTCGTTTTTCAAGGTCACTCGAAACAAGCCTGATCTGTCTCCCTTTGTCCGATGAGCACTAATAACCCACACACCTTGTAATGACTATTGCTTCCTCCATGTGCGCTTCCTCCACTATTCGGCCAGCCCTCGTGGGCACATCTTAATATGTGAAAACGTTTTCCAACTATAGTTTACTGTCATTTTACACCGATAATAGCACTACTGCCACCTCCTCTAACTGCAAATATTGAAAATATGAATCTAATTTTCATTACCACAGGAGACTGCATTTAGGGCAATAACTGCTGCGATGCAGTGCTTTCATCATCACTCAGTAACTATCGCTATTCAGCCCTGCCGTCCAGCAGCAGCCGCTCTGTCAACCCCAAACATGCACGTCAGAGGAGCGGAAGTGAGGGGCCCAGGGTACAGAGTCCCGGGGCCACGGCTGCTGGCCAATGAGAGGCAAGAATGTAAAGGCTATTACAAAACTGCGCTCTGACAAGCTGCAGACAAACGGGTTGCTCGTACCGGAAATTGTAATTTTTCAATTTCAAAATAAGATGTATCACGCCAGCATACGAGCCGGAGTTGATCTGAATATGATATTTCAATCAAAAATATTAAGAAAATCTGTGATTTAATTCACAGTAGGACAATGCTTTAAAAAATATGCTGCCACATATTTGAGGTACTTTTTTTCAGGAAGACCTTATATTTTTGATATAGTCTTGATTTCGTGAAGAGCAATAGCGGCCCCCTAAAATGCGCAAACATAGAAGAAATTAAGAATAGGTCTCAAGGTATTTTATATATTATTACAATGCTACTTTGGGTAAATATTTTATGTCAATTTTTGTTCAATTAATAGTTTTAAGCGTAAAGTATTTTATTTTGAAATGTCGTATCGGAAATGGCGCTGTTTCCCTCTGTGCGGTTTGACGGTTAGTGCTGAGAGCCGGAGGGGCGGCAGCCAGCCAGGCAGTGAAAGTGAAGGCGGAGACCAACCCAGTGCCGAAAACTCAGCCTCTTCTGGATCACGTTCAAGTTCACTGGACAACCCTAAAAAACGATCCAAAAAAGTAAGACTTTAAGAGGAAGGAAGACAAGGAAAAAAAGAGAAAAAAACGCGAAGTGCTCCTAACTTCTTCTCACCGCTATCTGCCAAGAATTGTCTTCCGGTGTTGACTTTTTTCTTGCGAGCACTACAAGAGAGAAAACCCTCCAAAGCACAAAGTTGAGCGTGAGAAATGTGAAGCTACCGGCTTGTGTGTTTCAACCAGGCTCCAGGATTCCCCATTAATCCATGCAGTACAGTGCAATGGTACGTGAACGTGGATCATTACTACTTTCAAATGTTGTGTAGCAATCCTTGTGTACCTTTTTTTTTTTTTTAAATATACTGTCCCGTCCTCGCGGCTGGTGGGGGGGAGAGGAGAAATGTGGAGAGGTGGGTTGACTTTGCAGGGACCACAACACAGGCACGGTCGGGCCAAAATTGTTGTAAACTTGGCACAGACTGTCCCGCAGCCTATGTTAACATCCCAGTCCCCCTTAATCTGGCAAATGAGCTCCGTGTAGACTGTTAACAGCTCTGTAGGGCACACACGTGCGCGCGCACTGTAGCGGCACCGTAACTATAACTATATTAACTTTGACTCCTTTTAGCTGTACTACTATAATGTTACTGTACACCTACCCACCAAGCTTCGCCCTAAATGAGCACTTCCTAACGGCGTTATTAACGCTTTTAAGTCAGGGAGTTTTATTTTGAGGAGGGGGTTTCTGAGAGCACAACATAATTTAAAAAATTAAAACATTTAATACCTATAAACTCATTTTAACGGGTGCTAAAGTTTAAGCTAGGTGTCCCTTTTACCTATTGTTTCTAGAACAATGCAGGCTAATTGTGTTGGAAATAGGTTTTTAAAAAAAAAAAAAAAAAAAAGTTTAATAAAATGTACCTCCCTTTATTTCTGTCCCCCCTAAAGAAATCATATTTTAAGAAGTTCTCCAGCAGACGTTAACAGGCTAATAAAGTACTGCTGCTTGGTGTGTAACTGACAAGCTAAAAGGTTTGTTATCACTGTGAGCCACCAACACTGCGTTGAATTATCTAAACTGGAAACGTAGAGTGCGTGTGTCTTGTTGACACGGAGCTCGGTGGTTAAAAAAGGGTGGCAGCGGGACGTTTTTTCCCCCCGTTTGTTTACGTTCGTGTATGTGACCGAGGCTGCGGTCCAAAGTCCCAGAAGGTCATAAAATAATTCTGCAGAAGGAAGGAAAGAGGGAGGTGTGCGTTTATGTGTGTGTGTGTGTGTGTGGGGGGGGTTAATGAATTTTATGCGGTGTGTTCATATAAAGCCGAGAAGGAGAAGAAGGTGCTTGGAGGGGTTGGATATGGTGTGTGTTTGGAAGGGGGAGGAGGGGGAGGAGTGTGACTGTGCAATTACGTGGGTGAAAAAAGTTGGGTCTGATTTGCTGGAATCGCGCAGGACCGAGGGCGCACCGGTCGATTTCATATCAAGTTTGGTTAAAGCAGGGGTGAACATCCCACACTCGGCGCCCTCTGAAGCTCCCCGTAATGCTTTCATGAGATAACGCCGCACAGAGACGCGCGCAGAGCCCCGTGCAGTGCAGGAGTACAGCAGCGGCAGCCTCGTTTCGCACACCGGCTCTACGAGTACAGTCCGTGCATGTCAACTTAAAAACAGAGAATAAAAAATCGCCTGCAGAAAATCTGTCTTTCTCTGCGGTGAAGACAATCTCTGGATTTGCAGAAATTCATGGATGTTATTGGATAATTACTTTTGGTTTTTACGCGGATCCACAGAGTCTCGCATAGCGCACAGCGGATCCAGGAATGGCGCGATAAAGTGATCTGAGGAATCGCTCCAAGTACAGTCACTTTCTGTGTAGCCGTCTCGTCATGTATTCCCCGATTTGTCTAACTCAGGTAATTGTGTCTTTTTTTTTTAAAGTTATGCATCTTATCGCTGTGATTTTTAATTTGTATAAAAATTGTCACACGGTTTGTTTTTTTTTGTTTTTTGTTTTAGCCCGGGAATAGAAAGTTGAGTGTCTGCGCTCTGAATTACTTTCATAATTCTTATAAATAATACAGACTTTCCCTTGTAAGTAAAAATAAATAAATAAAATATATGGCATTAAAGCGAGGCAAAAACTTCTCGACTGAGATTATATGTTTTTGTGATAAAGTCGTGACATATATATAATATATTTTAAAATGTATTTTCTACGAAAGTCCTAACGAAAGATCGGCTGTGTCCTGTTGGCGCTTGAAGTGCAAATCTTCACACGTTCGTCGCTCTTTACAAACTTTTGCGTAAAGATGAGTTTTAAGATAGAACCAAAGGACTCTATTCTTGCTAATCCCGTGTAACTGGTGCAGGTATTTTTCTCTGGTTTAATTAGCTTATTTGCGTCCTCCAATAACCTCTCTCTGTCTCTCTCTCTCTCTCTCACACACACACACAGGCGCGCACCTCTCGGCCCTGCTTGAGCTGTGGCTATACATATATATTTATATATTTATGTATATATATTTTCCAGGCGTATATTTTTATTTAGAATAAAGCCCCCATACTTTAGGGAAGTGAAGTTGGAAGTTGGAAGAAGATAAAGCCACTTGCACTGTAGAAAGATCAAACGCGTGATAAGGTTGATTCAGCGGTTGGACAGAGTAGCTGACTGTTTTGGCTGACTCAGTTTTACTGTTTATATTTTACTTGGCATAAGTAAGTGATTGACTGAGATGTGGTTTAGCTTGTACTTAAGAGGATTGTGCTTTTATGGCCCCAGCTGAAGTGCACTGCATAGGCCCTGGCCAAGTCATTTATCTTTACAGCATTTGGCTTTAACCTGGCTAGAAAAAAAATTAACAGAATATTTAAAGTGATTTTGAGCGGGAGTGAAAAAAGGATTTGAGGAACAGTTGCGAGTGAACAGATTTACTAGCATTTACACTTGCTTTTGTCATTTTAATTGGCAGCTTTATAGTGAGGAGATGACATTAAAAGAAGTTTTGAATGGATTTTTAACCTCTCTAAAAGACAATGAGGAGCTATACTATTCACAGTGAATATAATACATTTACAAGCTGTTAATGGAATCTGCAACATACACAGAGTTACCTCTTTCAGTGTAATAAATGATCATAATTTGACATTAGTGTACTGGAGCAGAGTTTTATCGGCCGATGGAGCCTGAGACTAGAAATGTGGCTTTTTAGAGGAGCACCAGCAGCAGCCACAGATAGAGAGGGGATTTCTGTGGTTCGCTATAGCCGGCTTGTTGCCTGACTGCCTACAAAAAGAACAATAACTCTTCAAAAGTCTTTCCACCCTAAAAACGCCTGTGTATAGTTATTAAAACTGGCATTTTAATGACCTCAAACAAAGATAATTTAATGTTTCCACCCCTCAGCTGCAGTCCTTTCTGCTGATTCCTAGAGATTCCCAGAGAACAAGAAT